CCCCCCCCCCCCCCCCCCCCCTGCTCTGCACTTGGGGTGATTTTAGAGTAATCGTTGTCGCTGTTCTCTCTCTCCCTCTCTGCCTCCCTCTTCCTCTTTCCCGGCCCCGGCTCATTTGAAGCACATTTACGTACAAGTCTGCCCCGGCCAATGTGGTTCTCCAGGCGGCGACCGTTCATCCGCGTTCTAAATTTACCCCCAATGAGATTAGTTTTGAGCTTGAAAACGAACTTTTCTTCGTTCGGTGTAACAATCTATGTGTACATAACAGCCTCGCAATAGCAGCCCCAAAAAAGCTGAAGACTACAAGTTCATGCAACTTTTACGAAGCGGGTGAAACCCCATTGGCGATCATGCAGGGGGACTTGCAGGGTTCTGATCTGATCTGATCTCCTGTGGTAATGGTCTATCTTTTCGAGGCTGAATGAAATAAAAAAAACTGTTCGTCGTTTGCGAATTTTCAGCTACACGGCGTTCACCAAAATGTGCGGTAAGATGCATTTGATTGTGTCCCCACTACACCGCATGTAGGCTTCTCGTCTGTCTAGCTATCTCCGAAATCCCCTGCTCCTTCCTGCAACTACAAGTCGATCGACGGTCAAATATAACACCCGTTGACCCCCCACGTCAACCTTAGACGGCACCCACTGCTTGCGTGCGACTGCAACTGCACGTCAATGGAAGGTCAATTTTTACACCCGTTGACCCCCACCCCCCCCCGTTTCTGCAGACGATGCGGAGGAAAGAAGAGCGAAAGCCGGACGCGGTAAACAGCGGCGAGTCTTGCGGGACCTGGGTAGCACCAGACGCGTGCGACGAAGACCGCAGCAGTGACGACGGCGGCGGCGACTGCGACCCGGGCAGCCAGCGGCTGCGTGCCCTGCTCCTCCAGGCGAAACGCGCGGCGTCGGAGTCGGCGCCCTCTTCCTGGTGCGGCGACGACGACGACGAAGAAGAAGAAGAAGGAGGCGAAGAATATGGAAACGGCGTCCGTGTCAGCGGCGGGGAGATTGAGCAGCAGAAGGAGGACAGCCCCAGGGAGAGGGTTGTCGGGAGGGCGGTGTTCGCGCCAAGATTGCTCCGATCGGGGGGCACCCCTGGGACGACCCGCGGGGACGACGGCCGCGGAGCCCCCCCCGCCGCCGATAGAGACGGGGACGACCAAGACGGGGCGGCGGCGCTTTTGGCGGCACTTGAGGACGTCCTCCTGTGCCCGCCCAAGATCCTCGCGCGAGGCTCGTCCTGCGGCGGGGGGCAGGGAAGATCCCCTTCCCTTTCCTCGTTGCTCACACGGGCGAGCAAGCCTTGCGACGGCCGCGTTGACGGCGGTGGCGGTGATGACCCCGAAGCGGGCGGGGGTGGGGACGAGAAGGAGAAGGAGGCAGACGCGGCGGAGGCGGCGGTTAAGGCGGCCCTCGCCTGGAAAGTTCCCCCTCGGAGGCTTTCTTGTGTGCTGGAAGAGTCCGGGCCGGCCGCGGGCGGCGGCGGCGGCCGCCGGGCAGAATCAGCAGCAACGGCGACGAAGGGCAACTGGGACAGGGTCAAACCGAAGAGCATTCCGAAGGCGGTACCGGACAAGGTTTCATACAACGGCGGCCCGGCGTTTTTCAGTCCTTCCGAGGACGACGACAGCGACGCCGGCGGCCTTGGCGATGTTGTTGTTGTAGGGTTTGGTGAAGAAGGCGGTAAAGGAGTCGTCGCCAGCGGCAGCGTCAAAGACGGCGGCGGCGGCGGCGGCGGCGGCGGCGGCGGCGGCGGCGGCCGACCGACACCCCCGCGGCGGGGGAGCGGGAGCGGGAGCGGCGAGAGTGAGTCCACGCAATCCGTGGGGGTAGGGTCGACCGCGATCATGACCACGCCCTCCCGCTCGCCGATGAGCAAGGGTGACGAAGACCGCGAAAGACCGGCGCTCGCAATTACGGCGGGTAGCGGCGACGGCGGCGGCACCGCGGTGGTAACGCGACAAGTCTCAGAAGCCACCAAGTTCGGCGACGACAGCGACCACGACAACGACGACGACGATGACGATTCCGGGCCTGTTCTTGCATGGCCTGCTGGATCATCGGCGACTCAAGGCCGGCGAGGAAGCGGGGTCGGTGGCGGCGAAATCAGCTCTTCTAACGGCCGAGTCCGCCAAGGGTGGGGAGCGACGAAGTCATCGGGTGGCGATAGCCCTTCCCTGGCGACTCGCACGCTGAACAGAGAAGAGCGGATCCGAACCGTGTTCGGCCAGAACGCCGTGGAAGCGGCGGCGGCGACCGTGGCGCCCGCGTCCGGAAGCGACAGCTCGTCGCAGCTCCTGCTCGCGGCGGCCAACCGGATCTCCGCGCTTCCGGCCCAGGAGCGATCCCTTCTGGAGGAACTCGACCGCGCCTCGGACGTTGAAGAAGGGGAGGGCGACGAAGACGGCGACGGCGGCGGCGGCGGTTTCGTCGACGATACCGGCGTTGTCGTCGCCGCCAACGGAGACAAAACGAATGAAGGCGGACACGAGGATGGGGCACCCCCTTCCCCCTCCCTTCAGGGTGACGGAACTTCCTCGAGAGCGTCTGCGGAGCCGCCGTTCCTCCGCGTGGGCAGCGGGGGAGGGGATGGCGGCGGAACGACCCCGTTCCGGTACCGCCGGCTGATGGGCTTGTCCCGGCGAGGGTGGCCTTCCTGCGTCAACCCGGCGCGAAGGGAGGAGTGGCTTTGTCCCGTCGAGTTCGAGGCGGTGTTCGCGATGAGCTTCTCGGAGTTCAGGGCGCTCCCCTCCTGGAAGCGGGTCGCCCTCAAGCGAGAGTTGCTCCTGTTCTAAAAGGTGACCGGCGTGGTTGTTTCGATCCTCAGATGCTTGTGCCTGGCCTGACAAAAGGTTGCCGGTTTAGTGTTCCTCAGGTATTGTCTAGCCTGGGAAGGGTTGCAGTTTTTTCCCTCTTTTTTTTCCAGGTGCTGCCCGTCCGCCTCAGCTGTTGCGGTAGTACATTATGGATGGTATTCGCCGGTCCGTACGTGCGTCGTTTGATTATTGCCGCAAAAGTTGGGCGAAGCATGACCACGCGGGATCGGCCAGTCGCGTGCCGCGGTTCGATTGGCGCTGTGTTTTAGCGTCTAACGAGAAAGGATTGTCTGGGTGGAGTCTTGCTTTTGTCTTCCCCGGCGCCCTGCAGTCGGTTTCCGATTCCTGCGACGTGTCTCTCGTGCATGCCGAGTGATCTTTTTTCGGAATCATGGAGGTCGGTATAAACTACCTCAAACACACGACGTTTGGCTCATTGTCTTACAGCACGCCAACATTGGTGGGGTGCTCTTGCGCTTGTGGTGTCGGCTGCGTTCGTTTGTTTTTACACGGCGTTGTCATGGCCGTGTCATCGTGTGCGGACGGAGGCGCGAAGAATGAGCGCTGCCCGAAGCCTTGTCGTGCCTTTGCAGGGCGTTCGGTTCGCGTGGATCTGGGAGATTCGTTGGTCCGGAAGCTAACAGCCACAAGGCCCACGTCGTTATGTACCCACTCGTCACTCAATTGTATGTTTTGTGGAGGTGCTGAGTCCGATGGAGGAACCGTGTAAACGAAAGCTGTTTCGTGATTTACAAGATACACGTGTTGGTGATCATCATGCTGCTGTGTAGATGGATGGTGTCTTGCTCGGTTTTTGTTCGGTCGAAACCTGATGGAGGGCACGGTGGGGGGTTCGCAGAGATGCGGGTTCTAAGGGGGGGGGTATCATGTACGTACATTAGACCAATGGTCTTGACTGCTGTATTTAGAGTTAATATTTATTGATGGAGTGAGCGAACGAAGCAAGTCTGCTGCGGTTTCGAAAGTTATGGGTCATCCCCTCGTTCTTGGTAAGGGTATGATATGCATAAGGTGTAGAGTGTGCTCTTTGTTGAATCGCATAGCGTGTGAGGCGTTCGTTGTGAAGTCCTCCTGCGATTCAGGAGCCAAGCCGTTTGTGTGCTGTTTTTCTGTGGTGTTCGTACTTGGATAAACTAAATATTCGAAAGTAAGAGGGAAAACTAATTGATGCCATACATCCCTATCCCTAACTTGTCCTAAAATACAGTATCCCAAGTTATTTTTGCTTCTCAGTTTGGCGGTGTTCGTCCTGGATTACTTGCTGCAGAAGGGGGGGCGGGTAAGTACTATTGAGATAATTAAGTTGCTTCGTGACCGTCATGTCAGCGGTGTTTTGTTTTTTGCGCGATTGTCGTACGGTACGAACCACCGTGGAACCTAGGGCCGTTTGATGTTATGGATATTGTATCGTGCGGGTGAAAAGTGTTCGGCAGCCCTCGCGGGCATGAGGTTGGTTGCTGTTATGTTGAAAGAGAGGGAGGGCCAGGGTATTGTGTGTGGGGCACGCCGCGTTTTCAAGACAAGACGAGGGAATCGGTTGTAGCTAGAGTGTTGTCATTTTTTTTTTGCCTCGTCCCATCGCATGCATCGGCGGCAGCATTTTTTTTTTAATATTATGTTGTAGGCGGGTTTTCTGGGTGGTCGTGCTCGTCGAATGGTTTTTGCCATTCGCCTGCAACACGTAAGCGAGTGTTTGGCCATTGTGGTAAAAGCATACCACCGCTGTGGAAACAGAGTATTTTTTTTCAAATCGAGCACCGGACGGTTACTCGCCATACACGGCGAGTTCTGTCCGTTTTTTTTTTCGTTTTACAGAGCCCAGAAATAGAGGGCGGAATGTTGAGCTAATAATGAAAAAGAGGAGACCGAAGGAGTTGTGCCGGCGCCAGGTTCGGAATTTTGAAGGAAATAATGCGAGCGACGCAAGCATTGATGCGGATGTTGGACAGCACACTATTATTATAGCAGTTTCGAGCAATGTATTGGGAAAAGACCTTTGTGTTACTGGGTAATTGTCGGGACGGGTTATTGGTCTTCCAGGGATTTCAGGTCAGAATATTCGAAATTGCTTGACCTTTTTATCTTCTTATCGCGTTGCTCTTTGCTTCCTGAAGGCGCCGAAAAACCGTTCGGGATTTGACACACGGTCAGCCGTGCGCGTCGTATGTTTGCCGTGCGCTCTGTGCCGCGCGGTGCCGTACACCTTGCCCTGCAAACCGAATATATACCACCGAACGAAAACCGCGTACACGTATGTACCGCCGTGTTTACCAAGTACTCGAAGACTGTTTCATCATCGAAGATGATAAAAGACGAAGGGTAATTGTTTTCAGAAGCGTAGCCTCGGACAAGGACAATGAAAACAATATTGAGCCTAAAGAAACTCAAAATTTAACAACATGAGCACCATCATCATGTGTGAGCTCGGAAAGAACCCCCAACACTGAAACCGATATACCGACCGTTCCTAGCATGGCCCTAGGAAGTAAGAACCGCAGCCTCCGCCGAAACCTTCTAGAGGTTTGTGGGTGCGGGCGCCTCTAGTGTGGAAATGGGGATCTATTCCACACACAACACAGGCAGGCGCACCTCCCCCCGTTTTCCGGCCCACAAACAAACGTCCTACCAAGAAAACTGTACAGCAGTACATCGGGCGCAAGAGTTACCACTGCCGCGGGGGGGAATCGAGCCACCTTCTTGCAGGAGGTGGGCCCATCTCATCAACCCTACCGGAGGCTGCTACTGAGTGCAATTGGTTGGCGACGTCGTGTGCACACAAAACGGGTATCCTGCTGAATCATCGCAAAACCGGCAGTGCTAGGGCGCATCTCACCAACTCTCCTAACTCAACAAGAGGCTGCTGAATGCAACTGACTGGCTGAGTCGTACGCATAGGGCACGGGAAAGAAGACCGGTACAATCGCCGCAAAACTAGTGGTAGTTGGTGTTCTGCTCCTTTCCTCGTCTTGAGGTGGACGACACCAAGCAATATATGCTGTCACATGTCCGAGGGTAACTACAGTTTGAATTAAAAACTGGCATCGACCACCGGCAACTCAAGGAGTAAACAACTACCAAACTTCCTCCCCGAATGCACCTTTCCCTACGTCAGCCGGCTCCGTTGCGTTTCTACTGTGCATGTCCTGAAGTAAATGTAACGGCATCGGCACAGACACCGGGACCCGTGAACGCCGGTGTATTGACCACAACAATATCCGCAGGTACATGCACCCGCGAGACAGTATAGGTGTAGTCCACACGGAATCCTAGTCCCGGAGCGCGACGAACAGCCAACCAATCAAAATCACTAATGCCTATTCGTTGCTTGAAGATGGGGTAATGCACAAAAGCAACAACAGAGGAAGCACGTCGTACTGCTAAGGTTGAGGGTCTATCAGGATAACCAGGTCCTGCAGGGGTGGCTCACCACCTTACCGGGCCCTACCTCTTGTATCATGTTCGAAGATGTTGGAAAAGGCGTTTCAAAACGTGCGCGCCGAGGTGGGTATGTTTGCATCGAGTGCTTGCAATGCCGCGGTGCCTCGGCCGTCATGTTTTTTTTAGTCCTTCCCCGCTTCCATTGCCATTTATCGACAAAGAAGCGGATAACATGAGGAAAAAAAAACGATGATGTTGCCGTCGCCGTCGTCGTAGAGCCTATGGTCCCTCGCTTTTCTCACAAAGAAGCGATGAACAAGAACTGCTCGATCTGTGGCAAGTATCTGTTGGATTGACAATAAAAAAAAAAGACAAAACGAGGATCGAAGCCCTCAGGGATGAGGCGGCACGAGTTACGCGACACGGTGTGCTCTTAGCAAGGCTGCTTACTCTCGCCTATGTAGGTGTGAAGCGGCAGCACTTGAAGACACATTTCGACGAGTGAGTAAACGGCGTGTGTCACCGGAAATGTCAACTTTGACTCTTGCGTAACGGTACAGCATAGTAGGTTTCCCGACATCGTGGCATGTTTTGGCAAGAGGACACGATGCCACTGGTCAGGACAGTGCCGCTATTCGAAATATCGGGTTCATGTACGCACATGTTGAGATTGTGAGAATAGTCTTTGATGACAATATGTCGGTAGTTCTGCTATTCAAGCTGCCACCATGTCGGACCACCTGCTGTACAGTGTGGTAGACGACCAACAACCTAAGTTTGCTATAGATAGTGAACATCGTGGGACCTAGTCGGGCAACCTTAAAGTTTATGTCTTTCCCCTTCGCCGTCAAATATGAAATGCTCGCCAGAACACTGTCAAAATCTCCTTGCGAATATACTATTCAGGCTACTCCTGGGCAGAGCACGCTCAAGTGGCCACGGTAGGGGGGATAGGAGTCCGGTTCTTTCTGCCGCAGGCAGAACCAACTGGCCGGCAACAAGGGACAATTGCACAGGCGGCAGAATGTACGACGATACCAGCAAAACAACAACAACAACAACAACAACAACAACAACAATCAGCGGTTCTCACTCAGGTCCCAAGGAGTGCTTCTTGCAGAAAGCGTCGGCGACCGCCTTGGGGTCGTCCCCATGGTTAACGCCAAGCTGTAACGCCAGGAAACCCCGAGATGCCGATTCAACCTCGACAGGAATAACCTCCGCAGGCGTTGTTGGTTTCGTTGGGAAAGAAGGGGAGGGGGGACACAGGATAAGCGTTCGTTGAGGACGTGGGGACGCTGGATGGACGAAAGCAACCTCGACAACTATCTGTCGATCCCCTTCAGGAGGGGTCTCACGTGTCGGCAACGGAAACTTCAAAAGCCGCAGCGAAATAACGTGAACAATGCCTGCTTGGATGAACGGGGAGTGAAGTGAACCGAAACCACAGCAGCGGCAACAACAACAACAACAACAACAACAACAACAACAACAACAACAACAACAACAACAACAACAACAACAGCGACGGCGATGACTACAAACAAGCACATCAACAACGAGGACAAGGACAAGGATAACAAGAACAACGAAGACGACGACTGATCCGAAGCACGCGACGTGGAAGGATCCCAAATGGCCTCACCTTATCGTAGAGCCCGCCCTCGAAGGCAACTTTCCGCACCGGGGGCCGAAGCGTCCCCAACTGTTCCCACTTGGCACCCCGTTCCCCGACCGCCTCTGTCCAGCGGAACACCTTTCCAAGAGGAACGAAGTCAAGGGAAGAAAGAGTAGTTCAGCCCGTGGAGGAGCTACAGCACACGCATACCTATGCTACAACAAGACATCTTGAACCATTACCATCGCAGCGACTGACGTGCTGCACCAATGGTATTAGCGTGATGAGAGGGAAATGACTTTTTAGAGGACGGTGTGCTGGGAGAAGGGAGGAAAGACGACGCGATACGTACACGTTGCCTTCTACCTTTCCCTCCTTTGTTCGCTTCTCCTCGCTTTGCCTCTCGTTTTTCAACCCCTTGCGATGCCCACGTGACGTCCAAACAAGCACGTTCGTCTTGACCCCAGAAAGAACCAACACCACAGACGGAATCCTCCCACGAGCACAAGGAAAGTCGCACACCGCTTCGAATTTCACTCACGACCAAAACTACCCGAAACAACCAACACCACGACTGAAAACATCATCAGAACATCAAGGAAAGCCACACATCGCCTCGCATTTCACTACCAATACTCCAACTACAAATCATGTTTATCCACAACACGCCAAAACAAAAACGTAAAAACACCTTTGCCAAGCCGGTTTCGTGGCAAGCGAAGGCGCTCAGCTGCCCGTCCTCCGCCCCGACCATGACTGACATCTCCGACGTAGACGGCAGATTTTCTCCGCCGCCCGATCTCCCTCCAAAGAGGGCCCCGCTGCCAGGAACCGCCGCAGCGTCGCCGCCGCAAGCGTCGCTGCTACTACCCCCCCCTACCGCCTCCAGCGCCTCCTTCAATCTATCTCCCCGCAGGAAGCGCTCGGAGTCGGGCGTGAAGACCCGGACGGCGTGGTCCGCAGAACCGGTGGCGACGTCGGCTACGCTGCCTTCATCGCTGATACCGCCACCATCACCTTCTCCTCCGGCAGCAGCAGCGGCAGCGGCAGCGGCAGCGGCGGAGGGCGGCGGTTTTGCGGACCCGTCGCCAGCAACGCTGCCGCTGCTGCTGCTGCTGCTGCCGTTAGGAGTTCTCAGCGCCGCGACGGACCAAACCGTCTTGGGGTGTTTGAAGAGGACGGTGGCGGTTTGTTGAGCGGGCGGGGGCGGCGAGCCGGCGGCCGGCGGCGGCGGTGGTGGAGGTGGCACACGCGCGGCGCACAGGTTGCCCGCGTCGTCCGCCGAGGCCACCAGCCCCGCTCCTAAGTCAGACACGCTGAACACGAAGCTTTCGTCTGAGGGGGCGGTGGTGGCGGCCGCGGCGGCGGCAGCACCACCAGCGCCACCACCAGCGGCAGTAGCACCAGCAAGTGCGGCAGAAAGTACCAGAAGTACCAGCACCAGAAGCAGCAGCAAAATCCAAATCAACGACAGCACCACAAGGGTTAGTAGCAGCGACAGACCGACGGTAACCAACGAGCGATACCAACGAACAGGCGGCAGCGGCAGCAGTAGCAGCAGCAGCAACAGCAGCAACAGCAGCAACAGCAGCATGAGAGAGGAGGCGCAGATGGCGAGGGGGGGGTCGGTGTCAGGCCGTGGCCGCCTGTCGGCGTTGCTATTGGTGAAGCTATATTGTGCGAAGGTTTATGGCTTTCTTTGCTGGAAGGTTTATGGCCTTCTTTGCTACATTCACAACCAACTTACGGACGCACCGGGAACGTCGTCGCGTTCGCATGAGGCTAGCGCTGGCGTGCATGGTGCTAGGCATGGAGCTGTGCGCAGGTTTGACGGAAGCAGAAAAAACGCGTTGCAACAATAAAAAAAATCGCCATGAGAGTGGCACCGCCCCCCCCCCCCCCCCCCCCCCCCCCCCCCCCCCCCCC